GGGGGTGGGGGGGAGGGGGGAGGGGGAGGGAGGGAGGTGCTGCGGTTCTGTGAAGGCCCATCCGCCGCCGCACTACAGGCGGTGGCGAGAGGCGTGCATGCTGTCCCCGGCTGGCTGGACCCCAGACCCAGCTCCAGAGGGGAGCGCTCCTCGCTCATCTTCACCCAGGCTGATGAGCAGCTTCATGTCTTGGGCATGATCGGCCCCGTTTCTTTAGGAACGGTCTCATTAGTGGGTGTGCCAGGCAGAGCAGCGCCAGCAGCTCTGAGACGCACTACACACCTTCAGGACTGTCTGTCCTCGGCCCCTGACGACTCAGCTCACAAGTTCTCACTACTAAGCACCAAGTAGCTCGCGAGCAGGTTGCGTCCCACCCTGTCCATCCCCGAGCCAGAGCTGCAGTGATGCGGCTGAGCCCCTGACCCCCTTTACAAAATGACCCCCAGCGGGGGCCCCACAGAGGCCGCGGGGCGGCCCACCTGCCCAGCCCTGGGGCACAGCAGCCTTTCAAGACAGAACAGACCTGGAGCACACAGACGGGCAGGTCCATGGAGAAGCAGGGGTAGAAAGTGGAGGGGTGTGGGCTAAGGGCCAGCGGCAGGACTCCTTCCCCTGAGGGGTCATCCTGGGGAGGAAAACACACACAGAGCTTTCGCAAGTGGCCAGCGGCTGTTCCCTCACGCCCCTGCCTCCATGCTCGGGAGAGCTGCCCCCGGCACTGCGCAGACGCTGGGCGGCTCTGCTGTCTGCTCCTCACTGGCCTCCCAGACTTGCCCTCTCTCAAGCCTGTGTGCCCTGGCTATCCCTAGCCCAAACCGAAGGGTCCAGAGCAGACCTATGGTTCCTAAGGGGGAAGCTGCCGGTACCCCACCATCTACCCAGAGAGGACCTGGGCCCTGCCTGTGATCGCCACGCACAGGGGCACTGAGTGCCTTGTATCACAGCCGGCCTCCACCGCCCCGCATCCACCGCCCCGCATCCACCGCCCCGCATCCACCGCCCCGCATCCACGCCCCGCATCCACCGCCCCGCATCCACCGCCCCCGTGCCAGGCAGGTGCTCCATGGCTTCACCTCCCAGATGACAGGCAGAGGCCAGGGTTGAAGACACTCACCCAAGACTCCTCTGCCAGGGGGAAGAGGCGATGGAAGCCCAGGTTCCAGGCTTCTCATCTTTGATTTGCATCCCTTAAAGACACCCCGTGGCTCCCTCTCCCCAGTGCAGGACCACTTCCTGGCGGTTTCTCCACTTAGCCCCTGCCCACCAGGGGCGTGCCCTCCTCCACTTTTGAGCCAACCCCGGTGGCCGTGCCCTGCATCTCTCCACAAGGCCCAAACCTAGAAGTTTTCTAGGTCATCCATGCAGAGAAGCCTGAGACACCCCTCTCCCACCAAACCACCGCCAGCCCCCCAGCCTGGCCTTGCAGCCGCCTCCCACCAAACCACCGCCAGCCCCCCAGCCTGGCCTTGCAGCCCCCTC